GCAGTATTCTGGAAGTTTCCGCTGTCTTGGCTACCAGCAGGACACGGTTGTCATATCCCTCCAGCGTGACAATGCCATAGGAGTTGCAGTAACTAGTGACATCGGGAACGGTGACAAAAAATGGCATAAAGGTGACCTCACCACTATTTCTGCCATTCCCCAAAAGAAAAACCTGGATCCCGGCATCGGAAGTGAGGAACAAGCCCTTTCCTGACTGGGCACCATAGAGCACTGCGTGGTTGGGTTGTAATTCTCGTGTGGTCTCGGTGACCTCACCGTGACCCTTGACCCACGTTGGTTGTGCAGCAGAGATGTAGACTACATTGGATTGTCCCCGGAAGGGCACCGGTGGCACGATGAAGGTTGTCCCCCACTGGGTGATGGGGCGGAGCTGTTCCACCACATGATCACAACGGCTCAACCTGCCCACACACGTGTGGCCGCTGAAGATAGCAACGGGTCTCTGAGCTACAACCCGTGTTCCAGAAAGATCTGCTGCGCTCTGGATCTGTGCCGCTTGAAATGGCTCCAGCAGGATGGTGATGGTGGAACCACGTGGGTGCAGCTTGCCACGGAAGGTGACGTCGGCACTGAGGTGAACATTGACTGTGGTGGGTTGATCCCAAGCGGCCACTACGAATTGGGAATAGCGGGCGGGGCCAGGGCTGGGGGTGACCACGTGGTATTCCGTCCCCCATCTGTGGACTGGGATAATGACAGCAGAGTCAGCCGCAGAGGGTTTGTCGTTTATCATCACTGTGGTGACAGCGGCAGTGGTCTTCACCACCACAGCATTTTCAAAAAGTTGGCTTCCCACCATCTCAGCTTGGGGTGGGATCTTCACCAGGATTGGTTGGTTAGCAGCTGCCTGTACTGTCATCCGTAATCCAGGTCTTTTCATGGAAATGGTGGCGGTGGTGGATGGGGAGGGGCCAGTGAGGAGGAGGAGGCGGAAGTCGCTGCGGAGGGTGCGTTGGTCCCCATTCTGCTGGAAGGCCACCAGGAACTCCTCTCCCAGGTGAGGTGGTGACACGACAGAGGTGACATGGAAGGCATGGAGGAGAGCTGTTGGGAGGGGAGGAAGAGAAGGAATTGGATGAAGGGGAGGAAGACTAGGGGTGGTTAATTTGATAGATTATTGATTTGATGGATTATTATTTTGATGGATCATGGATTTGATGGATTATTGATTTGATGGGATTTTGGTTCAATGGATTATTAATTTGATGAACTATTGATTTGATAGGCTTGATTGATTTGATGGACTGTTGATTTGATGAACCTTTTATTGATGGAGTTTTGATTGGTTTGACGGATTGTTGATGGACTACTGATTTTATGGATCATTGATTGATGGACTATGAATTTGACAAACTATTAATTTCATAACTTGATCGATTTGGTGGATTATTGATTAATGGATTATTAGTTTGATGGGTTATTGATTTGGTTGACTTTGAATTTGATGGAGCTTTGATTTGATAGACCATTGATCTGGTGGGTCATTGATTTCATGGATTATTTATTCAGATTATTGAGCCAATGGATTTTTGGACTAGTGGATTATTAAATTGATGGATTTTTTATTGGACAGACTACTGACTGATGGGCTATTAATTTGATGGGTCATTGGCTTATTTAGTCTTTGATTTGCAGGATTATTGATTTTATGGACTGTTGATTTAATTTTATTTGATTTGATGGGATATTATTTTGGAGAAATAAAAATTTGAATCAACATTTATCTGATGACTTGATGAATTATGGATTTGATAGACTTGATTGATTTGATAGACTGTTAGATCATTGATTTTATGGACTGTTAGTCTGATGGACTACTGATTTGATGTATTACTAATTTGGTGGAATATTGATAAAATAGATTGAATATACAGTTTGCTGATTATTTATTTGACAAACTGTTAATTTGATTGATTATTAATGTAATTGACTATTAATTTGATGAAGTATTGATTTGCTAGATCATTAATTGGATGGACTTTCAATACACTGCATTTTCCAAATGAGAGAATAAACTCCATTGATCTGAACAAGTATTTAACTGATTAGATTAATCTGCTAGATCATCATTAACAGAAACAAACAATTTGGACAATTACAAATTTGACAAAACCCCAATTAATTTCTTGGGCAAACGATGGCCATTTGGAGCTAGGAAACCCTTCTTTGGGACTGGAAAACCCTGATTTTGAGGCAAATTCATTATCTGAGGAGAATCTTGCAGCTTCTGGGGCATTTCTCCACCCAGCTGGAACTTACCCCAGAACATGACAATCCAGAACCAGTGTGGTACATCTGTTTTTCCCAGGCTGCCATCCATGATGCTCTGGGTGCAAAAGGCAAGAAAACAGTCAAATTCTCAGATTTCTTGAAATCTCACTAGAATTTGCACCAAACTCACTCATATTTTGACCTAAAACTCACAAATCCCCAAAATCTGTGGTTTTCACCTTTGCACTCATCCCAAAAAGGGGTGTTCTGTTGAATGTGCCCCTAAAAATCTGATTTTGTCACTCATGTAATCCCCCAAAGCCACTATTTTTACTGCACATATTTAGACATCTACACTTTAGTGCACCTAACTCCAAAACAAGTTTTTTGGGGGACATTTCCTTATGCCCTCTCCCAGCGTTCAAGATCCCTTTGCTTCTTTTTCCCCTTTCCTCCCTTTTCATTTTGACCATTTCTAATTTTTTCCTGTTTTCCTTTTCCCCCTATTATCTTCATTCTCTTGTTTCTTTTGCTCCATTTTCCCCTTCCCCCTTTTTTCCTCAATCTCCTTTTGCACTCTAATCCCATTTTTCTGCTTCCCTCCCCTTTTTTGCTTTTCCATTTGTTTATCTTTTTTCCCTTTCCTCTCCCTTTTTCTTCTTTTCACTCATTTCCTCTGCTTTTTTTCCCTTTCCTCCACTTGTTTCCTTTCCCCCCGCTTTTTCTCTTTTCCTCCACTTTCCCTATTTCCCCCTCTTTTTCTTCACTGTTTTCCTTTTCCTCCTCCTTTTCCCTTTCCTCTCTTTTTTGTGTTACTTGCTCTTTTACGCCTTTTCCTCCCTTCTTTCCCTTGTTTCCCTTTCTGCTCTTTTTCCTTTTCTCCCTTCCCCCCCCCCCTTTTTCCCTTTCCTCCATCTTTCCTACCCTTTTTTTCCCCAAATCCCCTCACACATCTTCCAATCTCACTGTTCTAAGGACCAGAACCAGAGCTGAGGAGGGTGAGGGGAAGAGTTTCAGGAATTTCCAGGTGGATTTTCCCAATTTGGAGGTTCCCTGCCAAAAAGAAATTATCAATTTTTAGATGTAGTTTTGCCCTTACCTGCCTCTGGCCCCGTTATATTCCCAAATTAGCTTCGTATCCCCAAAGAGCTCCGTTTTATCCCCAAATCTGTGATGAAAACACAATCCCAGGGCAGCAGCTCTGGCTCCTCCCTCAATTATTTTTTAACTTTGGCAGAAGAAGAGGGAAAAAAATGACTAATCCAGGCACCCTTGGGGGACCACCCCACCCAATGCCTTGACATAATTTTTGGCCAGAAAAGGTGAACAGAGGAGAAAAACAGGAGTTTTTATTGAAACTAATGGAAACAATTGGCATTACAAATATAAAGTTGTGGTTTTTTTGGAAGATGAGGTTGAAATTTTCCCAAAACAACAAGTAGAAATCAGGGGGAGGGCAAAAATAGGGAAGGTTAGGTATTTTTTGCAGAAATGGCAGGGGATGATTGGTGAAAAAAGGGGGGGGGGGGGGGAAAAAAAAAATCATTTTGAGGAATCAAAAGGATTGATTGGCCAAGACCAATGGTATGAGGTACAAGGGGAAGTGCTGGGTCCCATCCTTGGGTCACAAAACCCCCCTGCAATGCTATGAGCTGGGGGCAGAGTGGCTGGGAAATTGCCAGGTGGAAATGGACCTGGGGGTCAACAGGGGCTGAATATGAGCCAGCAGTGCCCAGGTGGCCAAGAAGGCCCATGGCATCCTGCCTTGGATCAGGAATAGTAAGGCCAGCAAGAAACAGCGCAGTGACTGTCCCCCTGTGCTGGGCAAAAATGAGACCACACCTCAAATCCTTGGGTCAATTCTGGGCCCCTCATGGCAAGAAAGACATTGAGCAGTTGGACCATGTCCAGAAAAGGCCAAGGGACCTGGGGAAGGGTCTGGAGCACAAGTCTGGTGAGAAGCAGCCGAGGGAGCTGGGGGTGTTTGGCTTGGAGGACACTCAGGAGAGACCTTCTCATGCTCTGAACTACCTGACAGGAGGTTGTAGCCAAGTGGGGGTCAGAGTGTTCTCCCAGGTAACCAGCAATAGGACAAGAGGAAATGGTCTCAAGCTATGCTAGGGGAGAATCAGGCTGGGTATCAGGAAGAATTTCTTTGCAGTAAGGGTGGTCAGGCACTGGAAGTGGCTGTCCAGGGAGGTGGTGGAGTGACCAAGTTTGGAAGTGTTCAAGAAATGGTGGGATGTGGCACTCAGTGCTCTGGTCTAGTTGACCAGGTGGTGTTTGGTCAAAGGTTGGGCTTGATGATCTTGGAGTTCTCTTGCAATATTAATTATTCTGTGATACTGTGAATGGGAGTGAAGGGGTAAAGTTTTGTCTTGTGTGTCTTGTGTTATGTCAGAGTGTGTTGTAGGAGCAACAGTTTTGGCGTATTGTCCTAGTTTTTGTGTTGTTTGTGTTGTGTGGCATGTGGAGTGTTGGGCGTGTGTGGTTTCACGTTGGAGCATGTTGTGGGTGCAACATTTTCGGGGGGGGTGCCATATTTTGTGTTATGCACAGGTACTGCATGAACTTGATTTCATACAGTGCAAAAACTCATTAATTAACACCAAAAAAGGCACAAATGAATGAACTCCAGCACATTTCACCCAAAGCCCCTCAGATCCCCTGGAACTGTGGGAACAGTGATGGTGACATGGCTGTGATGATGTCACCATGGATGCCATGGCTGTGATAATGACATGGACACTACAATCAATGTCTTGGATGTGATTTTATTGCTCTGGTAGAGGAGGACATAACCTTGACCTTCCAATTGACTTCACTGAGGACAGTGGTGACAATGGGGATATCCCTCTGTCCCAGCCCCCTAGATTCACCTACAGGAGACATCAAGAGCCCAAGAGGAAGAATCGCTTCCCCCCCCCAAAAAAAAATACCCATTTCCTCAAAAAATTCCCAGTTTCCCCCCAAATTTCCCAATTTTCTCCCAAATTCCCAGTTTTAAAAAAATTCCCCCCAGAATTCACAATTTTGCCCCAAATTCTAAAATTATTCCGTAAAATCCCCACCTTTTCCCCAAAATTCCCAATTTTCATCCAAAATTCTCAATATTCCATGTCCAAATACCCACTTTTCACTCCAAATTCCCAATTTCCCTGAACAAATTCACCATCTTTTCCCAAAATCCCCAATTTTTCTCCCAAAATCAAAAATTATCCCCCAAAATCCCCACTTTTTCTCTCTAACTCCCAAATTATCCCCCCAAGTTCCCACTTTTCCTCGAAATTCCCGGTTTTCCTCCCCAGAATTCCAACTTACAACCAGCAGTCATTGTCCTCGTTCACCTTGGGAGGGTCCACACCCATCAACTGGAAGTTGTCCACCCGGAAGGCCCAGCGCCCTGGGACATTGACATTGGAGGTGGCAGTGATGTTGATGATGGCATCTGTTTGGGATCCGGGAATGTTGTAGAAGTTGGTGTCATCACCGCTGTTGAATCCTGCCTGGAAAATTTGGAGGGAATTTGTGGGGACTGACCCCACCCAAAGGGGTGTTGGGACCCCAAAATTATGTTAGGAGGTGAGCACTGACCGTTGGTGGCCCCCAAAAATGTTATGGACCAAATCCATGACCTTCACCATCATGATGAGCCTCTTCAGAAGATGGGTGGGACAACCTCAATCTCCCCCCAAATCACTCTGGACCAATCTCTGACATTCATCATAACTATCTCTGGACAATGGACTGGACCAATCTCTGACCTTCATCATCCTCCTCCCCAGAAGATAGGATGGGCCAACTTCTGACCTTCATCATCATCTCCAGAAGATGGGACAGGACATCCTAGACTTCCTCTTAAAAATATTTTGGGTCAATCCCTAGTCTTCATCATCACCGTCATCCATCATCATCATCATCATCATCATCATCATCATCATCCCCAGAAGATGGGATAGGCCAATCCCTAGCCTTCATCATCATGCCCAGAAGATGGAGTGGGACAACGTTTTCCTTCCTCCTCCCCTCCCCACCTACATGTGCTGCAATCCCTCCGAGCCCCGTTTCAGCATCCCCGTCACTCGCCGCTCCTGTGGTCCACTGGATGTCCCAGTAGTTTAGGATGATGAAGAATGTCTTGGAATCAGTAGTCAGGACAGCCTGGAAGGTGTTGCCCTATGGAAAAGGTCACAGAGGTCAAGGATTGGTCATGGAGGTAAGAATTGGCTGTGGAAGTAAAGGGTGGGTCATGGATATCAAAGATAGGTTGGTCACCAAGGCCACCAACTGAGTCACAAGAGCCAATGAGCGACCTCCATGCCCCAGCCACAGACTCACCTTTGTGGAGGTGGAGCCATAGTAGGCCACGTGGTCCCAGGTGGCCACAAAGGCCCAGGTGGCAGTGAAGAGGGTTTCGGGGAAGTACTGGTTGATGTCCCGGCTGATGTCCCCCAGCAGCACTGCATTGGTGGTCTGGCGGTAGAAGATATCCCCACCCAGCACGTTGTCCACATCTGCCCAGTAAGGGGCCACAAAGGAGCGCCCATCCACCAGTGGGAAGGGATCGGGGGTGTATTCTCTGACAGGTTCATCAAAGGAGATCACCCCATTGTTGTTCACCTGCAGGTGACACCGGGAGGGGGTGGGAACAGGGGTTGGGGGTGCATCACCTTGACTTGGGGTGTGGACATGGGCAATACAAGGCCCCAAGACTCACCACCCACAGGACCTCTGAACACCTACCAACCCCCTAAGGCCTCCCCCCCAAGACCCACCAGCCATAGAAATGCTCTCTCACAGGACCCCCAAATGCCCCTAGAACCCCCCAAAACCCACCAACCACAAAAGCCCCCAACACCCCCCAACCCCATCAAGACCCACCCCTCCAGGACCCTCTCAAAACCTGCCACTCATAGGACTCTACAACATTCACCAACACCCCAAGACCTACTACCCATAAGATCTCTCACCACCCATCACCCACAGGACCACCAAGGACCACCCGCCCAACACCCACGATCCACAGGACCCTCCAAACCCCTCCAAACCCTCCAGTACTCCCCAACCCCCTCAAGACCCACCTGAAGACTTTTCAATGCCCCCAAACAAACTCCTCTATGAACTCAAATGGGGTTGAATTTGGAGAAGGGAGTTTGGGGGTAGGGACACAGACAAGTGAAAAATGAAGCAGAAACAGAGGGAAAATTGGGAAAAATTGAGGAAATTCCCCAAAATCTTGAATTTTCAGTGACCTACAAAGAGGGCTTCATGGGTTTTGCCATAGAAGGTGAAGGGAATGAAGAGGGTGATCCTCTCAGATGTCCCATCATCATGTTTGGGATTCGTCTGGTCCCCCTGGTCTGGTCCATAGGGATAGAGCAGGGACCCTGTGGCAAAATCAGGATTTGGGAACTCTCCCCTCAAAAAACACCTAACTATATGGATACTGGAGTGAAACATGCCAAATTTGGGGTTTCTGTGTTCTTGGATACCTAAAAATGGTTTTGTCTGCTACCATGTGATCAAGGTGAAACTGGGGTGTTAGGGAATTACCCCATGGAGATTACATAAGGAACATATAGATTTGGGGAGAAATAATGGGAAAATGGTATAATGGGGGTTAGAGAAAGCTTGGTTTAGGTGGAAATAGTGGTTTTTAAGGCAAAACCTGTCAAATTCACCTTTTCCAGATGAGGAATTGGTGCCCACAATGGATCCTGGAGAAGAAAAGGGGGGAAGGGAGTGGGGAGAAATGAGTCAATCCATCATTCCCCAACAGGGATGAAAATTATAACTATTTTTCAGAATTTACCCAAAATCAGGAGGAGGAAAACACCAGAGGGTAACATCCTCGACCCTAAAAAAATATGAAAATTGGGGAAAATTTAAAAAACATAAACCAACAAAAAATCCCCAAACCACAGTCCCCCCAAAAAAGTCCCAGGAAGTGATGAGGGTCTGGAGGCAAAACAAAGCAAGAATGAGGGTCTGGAGGCAAAAAATCCCACTTTAAAACACTATCCAGGCTCTTTACCCAGGAATGTTTTGTGGGAGGCAGGGAGAATGTGTTATTCTAAACACTTCTTTAACTAAGTGAAGTATTTGAAAAGTTGGCATTTTAATTTTATTATCTTTAATTTATTTTCCAGTATTCATGTAATTTAATTTTGGTGGTTTCTTAATTTAATTTTTTTATTTTTAATTTAATATAATTGAACTTTAATTGAAGTTTTCAATTTAATTTTGTTTCATTTAATTTTAAATTTTTAATTCTAATTTAATTGACTATTTATTTGGCTTTTTAATTTAATTTGATTTTTATGTATTTTCTATTTATTTTGATTTTTAATAAATTTTTATTTAATTGAATCTTAAGCGTTTGCCCTTTGTGTGCACAAATTGAGGATTTTTGCCATTTCTGTGCACAAATACATGATTGTTTGCCCTTTTTTTAATGCATAAAATCAGGGTGGTTTTATCCTTTTTCATGCATTTTTAAGTAATTTAAAGAGAGAAAGCTTTCTTAATCCATGAAATATAAGGAATTTAAAGAGAGAAGATTCCAGGGAATGACTGAAATCCTCATCAGAATAAAAGTTCCCTCACCTGGATTCCGATGAATAGAAGAACCGGGGCCCGAAAATGAGCTCAAACACCCAAAAATGCTGGGGTTTACCTCATTCAGCTCCTTCTTTTATCAAAAAAGCACGGAAATAGGGAATTTGCCAACTTCCCGCCCACCCAAGCTCTCTGAGCTCTCCCAGGATTTTTTAGAAAGGGGTATTTGAGTTCACGGATTGTGGATTTTTGGCTCCTCCAGATTCTTTCTTTCTTTTTTTTTCTTATGCACAGACAAGCCTCTTTATGAATAATTTTGGGGTTCTGGAGACACCTCTGGATCCCTCATCACTTCACAGGGGTTTTTGTACTCCCAAAATTAGTAAATTTCAGGAAATTCAGGATGGGGGATTCTGGGTTTCTTCTCTGCTGAGCAACAGCCCCCCCTCTGCCAAAAAAACCAAACCACCAAAAAACAAACCCTCCACGACTTCCCTTAGTTTTGGGGTTATTTTATGGCATTTACTGCGGAGCGAAGAAAAAACTCTCAATCCCTGCCTGTTAGGACTTTCAAGAAATTCTCCCTTATTTTCTCATTTCTCCTCATTTCCTGCTTTTTTTCAGGGGAACTCCCATCCCCTGATTTAATTTTCCTAAATGAAAAAGTCCTTTTAAAGTTAATTATTTGTTTATTATTTTGAGACTAAAAAATAAATCTTTCTTATGTATTTTGGTTTTTTTTCCAGGATAGGGGGAGAGAAGAGAAAAGCTCTTATACACTGGAATTCTATATTTTGGGAAGGAAAAAAACCCTTTAAAAAAATCTGTATTTTATGGGTGTTTTTTAAGGAAAAACCTCCTTTTATTCTCTTCACTTTAAGGAAAAGTCCTTCTATATTTACCTAGAGTTTTAAAAGTATTATCTTAATAACTCTCCATTTTTTTTATTTTTTTTTTAAGGTGGGGGGATGTGGGTTTTTTTTTGTTTGGTTTGGTTTGGTTTGATCTTTTCTAAAAGAAAAACCCATTTTATTTGCTTTTATTTTAAGAAATGTCATTTGTCCAAGTTCAAGATGGGTGTTTTCAAGCTTTTTAAAAACTTTTTTTGGCCAGGAGCCGGACTGAGACTTCTCCAGAATTCTCAGTTGGGACTTTTCTCATTAGTTTTTGGAAAAAAAACAGACAGATTTGGGTTCACCCCCCTGGAGACACTGGTTTGGGGTTGAGGAGGAGGCAGTGATTCTGAGGAATTGTGCCTGTGTTTCACACACATTGCAACGACCCCATAGAGTCCCTCATGTGTTGTCAGGTCCCCAAGTTTCTCACATCTATCGCGACATCCGTTGTGGGTCCCATACCCGTTGTGACATCACCTGTGGGTCCTCACTTACTGTGACACTCCTGTGGGTCCCACAGCCATGGTAACATCCCTGTAGGTCCCACAAGTGTTGAGACATCCCCATGGGTGACAGGATCCAGCATCCCATTCCCGAATTCTCCAGAATTCTAGGTTCAATTTCACAATCCATTCCACTCTGGCCAGGTGTGGTAAATGGTCAGGGTTTAATGTTCACCCCCTACACCTCCCTCCTTCCTTCCCTCCTAAACATCCCAGGCTAAAGGGGAAACCCATCTCCTCTCTTCCCTCTGTGCTGGCTTCTGCTGACATCATAACATACCTTCATGAGGTACTAGGGGTTGTCCCACATCAAGAGGGGTGTCCCACATCAAGGAGGGTCCCTGAGCCACTTCCCAGCAAGGGCTGGGGTCTGTGGGGTCTCCCCTGTGTGTAGCTGTTCGGAGCCAGGTGAGGGATATCTGCAAATCAACATGAATAAATTGCTGTGTGACTTTGCTGGATTGAGCAAGGCTGGAGTGCAGGTAGAAACTCTGCAAGGGTCTTGCAGGGACAAGCAGCAGAAAGGTTAATGCTGGGAGTCATCTTCTGCCACTGCTTTAAATCTCTGCTGACAAGTGTGGTGAAAACCAGATTGCTTAAAAATTCTTACTGTTAGTAACTTAGTGTGTTCTGGAGAGGTCTATTTGGTTTGCATCTGATGTGTTGCTTTTTTCCTCTCTGATTTAAGGCTTTGGCATAATGCATGGCTTTTGTTTGCACTGTTAATGCTGGGATGAACAGCAAAATTGCACTTCTGCTAGTCAGAAATCATGCTAAATGCTGATTTCAAAGCTTGTTTTCATTAGCATCTTCGTGTCTGGGGACATGAATACTGAAAAGATCATGCCGATTCCAATTAGCATTAATTGATAGCTCTGGATTGGACCAAACTTTAAGCTGAACTAAGAGATTTACATATGTAGTATGTAATATGTAGTTTGAATTAAAGGAGCTGTTTCCTTCTGAGATTCAGTTTGTTCTTTCTATCTACTATGAAAAGCAGCATTTTTGGCCTGCTATCCACTGGTGCTCCAGAAAGATACAATCTGGGAAGTCAAGTCTTTCAAGCCCACCCATAACTTTGGATGGATTCCCTGCTGAATATCCAACTTTCAGCCCCTGAAGGAAGAACAGTCAATTGGCACAAAATCTGCCTGCTTAGAAAACCAGTTGTTTAAACACCTGAAATCAGGCATTTGGATTCCCACTAGTTTTAAAATCTTGGCCTTAGAACATGGTGCTATGAATGTTTATTGCTGCATTTGGGCTCGTGAGAAAACTGATGTTGTAATTCATACAACTGGAACCTGCAAGAGTTACAGTGGAGAAACACAGAACGCAAACTACATAATGGGCGCCCAAGCCAACCACTTGTGATTCTATGTGTCTCCAGGACTAAATAAGTGCTGGAATTTCAAAACAAATTCTATGTTTGTAGGGAAGGGGGAACAGTTAGAGTTAACAAGAGTTTTACTATGCATCCAGGAAGAAATGTTAACTTTCTTTATGACATGGAGAAAATACCTCTCAATATCTTCTGTGAAGTGCTTTGAGATCTGGTATTTATTTTCTTTATTTTTCCTAATGGTAAAAATGTTTGCAAACTTGAACATCTTTTAGAATTTTATTCTTATCTCACTCCTCTGAGGAGGAAAAATATCACTGATCACATGCAACAAGCAGAGAAAATAGATGGTGAGACCAAGGAAGGACATTCACAATGCCTAATTTAAGCACCTGTGATGGGTAGGTGAGGTAGTGTCCAAACTCCTCCCTTCCCTGCCTTCTGCTTCAGCAGTTGGGACCCTAAACACTAGAGCTGCATTCCTTAGTTTTCAGGTTGAGAGAGGGAGTTGACATGTTGACATACCAACCATATTTTCCTTCTGGAAGGCCTACATCACAGCATTTCAACAGTGTGGTTTCTCTCACCTTCCTCTGAAGCCTGTGGAATGGGCTGTGGGCAGGGCTGTGATGCAGGACTTAGTGAAACACTAGTCTGATCCGATGTGGCAGTTCCTGTATTCTGGTTTTTGTTGTGCTAATGATTTCTGTCATCCAGCTGGCAAAAGCATGGCTTGAATGATTCCTGTAGTGCCCAAGGGCAGCCTTAGTTGGGTGAGGAAAGCAAGCCTGGTATTTTTTAATCAGTCTCCAAACTGTGGTGAGGACAGTCTGAACCCATTATGGGTGACATGGCATCTCCAGCATGCTGGAATGCCACCATCAATCACTGCTGCAGACACCTGCCTGATGATGGACCAAGCCAGGTTACCTGGCTGCTCACTGGGTGTTGCTTATCTCCCTTTGACTTCTTTGGGTAACCTGCTAGCCCCAGGGATGCAGCACAGCTGCCACTCACTGCTCTGCAGCAGCAGGAGAGCAGTGGTGGTTTAGTGTTGCACAGTTATTGCAGAAATATCTATCAGTGCAAGCTTGTAGTGAAAGTGCCGGTGTCTGCTCTCTGCTCTCTAGTGGTTTCTCTGTTTGCTTTTCAATCCCTGTGCTCAAATTTCTTATGCCCCCTAATTAGAAGCAAGAGAAAGAGACACCAGGGAGGTCCCTGGTTGACATTTGGGGTTTATTTGTATTTATCATTAGCAGCATTATTCTTTTTGCAATGAGCCTTTGAAAAGAGAAAGTACAAGGAGATACAAAAAGAAGCTAATTTAAAACTTTGCAATAAAAATCTTGGCACAGATTATTGAATTTGTGATTAAACTGACTTGTCATACTACAGAAAATTAAAAAGAAAAACAAGGATTTAAAATGGGCTTGTCTGTGACTCTGTTCCATCAAAACTAGCAAATGTTTTATTAGCAAAGGTTCATTAAAAAAAATCCTACCTATAAAATGAGGCAGGTTACATTGTTACTGCTAAAAATATGCTAGAGCTAAAAGCTTGGATTTTAAAAAAAAATGTAATTTTCATAAAGTTCACTTTCATCCCCTTATTTATGTCAAGAAATTACAATGTTTAATGTGTAAGATAGTTAAAAAAGGACAGCAATTTCTTTTTATTTTTTTTTTACTGAAAACTTATAATTTAGAATAACTCAGTTTACTTTAAAATATATTTGATTTTAAAGCTTTTAAGATTTTAAACTACAGCTTTCTTGGCAAAAACAATTCAGAATTGGCCAAGGGATTTCAAAGGTGCAAAAACATCTTAGTCACCACTCAGTTCTATGTTATCTAGAACAGATGGGCTTCATGTTGAAAGGCTTAAAGTTTGGGCACATCATGTTATGCCAAGAGCTCTATTTTCCGGAACAAATGTGGTTTTACATGCAAGCATTTCAGTCCTTTATCCAGTAATAAGAAACATATGAACCACATGTGCAAACTGGTCGAGAACTAAAGCCAGTCTACTGAAAGAACAAAATATTTTAGGATTCAATTTCATCTATTTACCAGGCATTTATTTGTGACTGAATTATATTTGTGTTGGATGCATCCGTGCATCATGGTGTGAATCAATAATCTGCCAAGACAACATCTGCCTTATGCTGTGAAAAGTTGACCAGCACTACATTAGAAAATAATTTTATTTGTTGACAGCAGTTTCCAGCTACAATCGACACTAAAAAGCTCAAATTACACAACTAACTTGTTCTTAGGAACTATTTATTTTGATCAAACTGTAGCTTCTTTTTGTGATGACACTGAACACTGCACAACACACTCAGGCTTTCAACTCAGGAAAGCCTGGGAGCAGTAAGGTAGAGTAGATTTTATTTAAAAAATCACATCAACGATTGATCATTTAATATTCACAGTGTGCTAAAAATAACATTTTTGGAAACACTAACATTTTTTTTAATTCTAAGAAGCAATGAGATCAGGTTGAAAAAAGCTTCCCACTGAAAAATTTTTGTGGGACAGAACTGCAACATTCTCCATGAAAGAGACGAAGAAGATAACATATCCTCTTTCCTCTTTTTTTCTTTTTCCTTCCTCACAGGTAGTCAGATCTGCTAGACTGTAACTCTCACAACCCTCTTGTTGCTGCTTTATACATTGTTTATGCTAATGGTTCACTTCTCACATTTAGCCTGTCAGAATTTTTCTACCTGTGTACAATTAATAGGGACAAGCTGATTCACACTTCTTTTGAGGGAAGGGCTTTATGTAGTAGCCATCATTCCTGGCCACTAATATCTCTAGTTAAATCAACCCTGATATTCAATAACTCAAGATTTAGGAAGCTAGCTTTCACAAGATTTGTGCAGATGGTCTGCAGGATTTAGTAAACATTCTTAGTTGATCTTGTTGAGTGTGTGGTTTTGGCCTTGAACTTTTTTCTGACTGTCTGGCACTAACACGAATGTTCTAATTAAAATTGGTATAGAAAACTTCTTGAGAAGTGGAAAAGTTTCTCAGTTCTCTTTATGTAGCTCATAAAAATGAGGAGAGAAGGCAAAAATAGGCTTAAAACTTTGTGCTGTCTTGAGTGACAAGAACACCTATGAAAATGATTACGTGCCACCTTATGTCTCCGTGAGGGATGTAAGGAAGCAGTCACTGTCTATCGTGCAGTGGCAGGAACTCAGTTACAAAAGCATACATGGCTTTGTCCTCTATGAAATGTTAAAGACCAGCTCTAATTTTAACATCAACATGACAGATATCTCATGTATCATTTATAATATACCCTTTTACATCTGGTGTCATCCTTTACTCTTACTGACAGATTCTCGTGTTCAACACAGTCAACTTTGACTTATGACATGGTAAAATGCTTCCAGAAGGGTGCTGCTGTTTTCTTCCCTCAAAATAGGCTCTGCCTTCCCCAGGTGATTGTTGTCATCTTCTTCTGAAATTCCTTGAAAGTTCAGGTGCCTGAGAACTCCTGGGGTCAGCAAACTCTCAGAGTGAGTTTCTGTATTGACAGAAGTGGTCTGTCTGTGTATGGCAAAGCCAAAGGGAACAAAGGTGAGTCAAAGATGCAAATGGCACTCTCACTGAGGCATTAAAATTCTGGGAAAATTTTAAAAACACCTGGTTGAAAACTTCTCTGCCACTCGAGAGTGTTAAATAAAACAAAAAATAATGTAATTCTTGTACTACACTGGGCTGGGGTGGATCTTGCTTTCTAACAGTCTGTATCAGGCTATGTTTCAGATCTGGAACCAAAACACCACAGAAAACATACTGGTGACCTACTGTTGCTGAACAGTGTTTGTACAGCATCACCACCTTCTTTCCTTCTCTTTACTCTCTCAGTGAGCAACTGGAGTGCGGCAACATGATGGGATTTGGCACAGCTGGGAAAACCAGCCCAAAGTGAGCAAAACTGTATTTCCTATTATTTCCATATGATATCATATTCCATATCAAACTGTATCATGCTCCACACTGAAACTGCAGGAAGCGGAAAAGAGTTTTTTCCAAAGTGGGCACTGCTT